TACAAACACACACACACACACACACACACACACGCACGCACGCACGCACGCACGCACGCACGTGCACACACATGCATGCATACACACACGCACGCACGCGCACACACACGCACGGGCACACACACGTGCATGCACACGCACTCGCGCACACGCACACGCACGGGCACACACACGTGCATGCACACACACGCACGGGCACACACGTGCATGCATACACACACATGCGCGCGCGCGCGCGCACACAATTTTAAAAACGAGAGGGAGAAACCCTTCCTTTTGTGGCTGGCAGCAAACAAGGACGGACCACCATGAAGGCCTCAGGCACGACCAAGACATGGGTGCCCGGCACCGTGCCTGCGCACACTCCCTTAACGTGATGAAGGTGGAAGAGATTTCAGAGGGCAAGTGCCGACGGCTGGCAGTGAAGCAGGTCCAGGTCAAGAAGATAAAGTTCCGGCTTCCTCGCTGTGTGTTGCGGCTCCAGCACATGCCAAGGTTCACGTCCAAGAGGCCTAACACCTGCTTCTAGAAGGGCGGAATAAAATTCAAGTGTCTTGCCTGAAAAAAAAAAAAAAAAAAAAAAAGAGAGGGAGAGGGACACACAGAGAGGGATTGTCATCTGACTGTCCGTAGCAACCTATGTCCTCCAGGCTGTCTTTATTATATCCCACCCTCTCCGAGTGGAAGCTCAACACGGCTTTTCCTTTGCATTTTTACTCATGATTTCCATGTCGGCTTCTGTATGTTTATTTTCCTCCACTAATTATTTGTTTATCTGCTCTTCTCTTCTGCCCATTTCCTATTGGGTTGTGTGTTGTTGTTATGATACAGAGTTTTGCACTGTAGCCCCAGGCTCACCTCAAACTCAGAATTCTTCTCCTCTTTCTTAGCTCTCCTCCTACTGGCGTTACAGGCATGTGCTTAGCTTATAGAACGTGTTATTTTAGTTTGGTTTTTTTTTTTAGTTTTTGTGTGTGTACATGTTGTGTGGGATGCACATGGGTGTTCAGAAGCCCAAGGTTGACATAGGATGTATCCCTATGTAACCCTGCAGGCAGAATAGGGCACCAGATCTCTTACAGATGGTTGGGAGACACCGTGAGGTTGCTGGGAATTGAACTCAGGACCTCTGGAAGAGCAGCCAGTACTCTTAACCTCTGTGCCAGGCTCTTTGGGTAGATGTGCTCTCACATCTTGCAAAGCAAGTGCTTTGTCCACTAAGCTGTCTCCCCAGCCCCCTGGATCACTTTTGAGACGTGGGGGCAGGGGTTTAACCAGGTATGGAGGACTATGCTTGTATTCCCTCAGCACTTGAGAGGCTAAGGCAGGAGAATCACGAGTTTGAGGCTCAAGTCTAGTCCAGGCTACATAAGAAGACACTGTTTCAAAAACAAACAAACAAAACAAAACAAAATAACCTTTATGCAGACTCAATACTGCTGCAATTTGTCTTTTTCCAGTTCACAGTTGGATCCAGTGGTGGCACAGGCCCATAATCCCATCACTCAGAAGGCTGAGTTTAGAAGATTACACATAAATTCAAGGCTGGCCTGGGTACCTGCCCACTGCTGCATCACAGAAAAGCCTGCCCCGGCACGGGTGAGGACTCACAAAGATACATGTCTGGATCTCCCTGCACAACCTTCCAGCAGCTCCCCCCAAGTCTCTCCTCCCTCCCCTGAGTTCCAGGTCAGTCTGGGCTACAGAATAAAACTAAACCAACCAACCAAACAAAAACAACAAAAAAGAAAGAAGACAAAGCCCAGAAGCCTAGGTGCATACCTTTAATCCCAGAAGGCTGTTCTCTGTGAGTTCAAGGCTAGCCTGGTCTACAGAGTGAATTCCAGGCTAGGCCGGGCTACACAATGAGACCCTGTCTCAATTTAAAACAAAACAAAACAAAACAAATCCACAACACTCCTCAGTGGGCTGACTCTGTGGGTGTGGAGCTTGTCCGCATGGAGAGCTGACTGTGCTGTCTTGGAGAGGACAGGGTCACAACAGCTCCATCATTTGGGGACGTTCTGGTGAACAGCACCAAGTAGACCATATAGACACAGGTGTGACGTGTGTCCCCATGACCTCATAATCCTACTCCTGAATACACTTGTGTGAGCTTGAGTTCTCTCCAAAGCCTAGGAGACAGGACCACAGGTGTGCGATGTGGGGAATGCCCCCTCCCCAAAAGTGGGTGAGGAACTTGAAGCCCAGAAGAACAAAAAGCCAGTGACCTACAAGAGTCAAGCGGACCTCTAGAGAATGACACAGCTGAAAGCAATTGCTGGGGAGGGAGGAGAGACTTGGGGGGAGCTGCTGGAAGGTTGTGCAGGGAGATCCAGACATGTATCTTTGTGAGTCCTCACCCGTGCCGGGGCGGGCTTTTCTGTGATGCAGCAGTGGGCAGAATCCTATAAGCAACCCCAGACAACTCTGGTTCCCCAAGCTGGACTTGAATGGGATACTTCATTGGTTTGTCATTGCTCCCTCTATCCAGGGTAAGTAGAAACAGACTCCTTGCAGGGTGGTGGTGGTGCACGCCTTTGATGCCAGCACTGGGGAGGCAGAGGCAGGAGGATCTCTGTGAGTTTGAGTCCAGTCTGGTTTACAGAGCAAGTTCCAGGATAGGCTACAAAGCCACAGAGAAACCCTGTCTCAAAAAACCAGAGAGAGAGAGAGAGAGAGAGAGAGAGAGAGAGAGAGAGAGACTCCTCATGAAGTCAAGTCAAGCTACAGGCACGGGCTGGAGTAGTGGGAGAAACTTAGGGTACTTGCCCACCCCAAGAGTGAGCACCCTAAATTCTACATCTTATGCTAGTCACTTCTCGTCACTTCTCTCACCCCACTCCCAGCCTTGGATGATGTAGAAATCATCTGCAACTTGCCCCTGACACAGAAGCTATATGTTTAAGTTACATTTATTTTTATTAGGTTACATTTATTTATTGTGTTCATTTTTGGTGGACGGAGAATGTTAGAGGACAAGCTGCGGGAGTCCGTTGTCTCCTTCCACCTTGTGGGTTCTGGGGTTTGAACTTGAGTTGCTGGGCTCGGCTGCAAGCGCTTGCATCCACCGAGCCAGCTTGAAAACCTGAAAGCTGTAATGCTTAGTTTCTGGCTCCTTCCCTGGGTAGGGATTGCTCCTGAAGAAGTCACTAATGGTACTTCCACGTCCGGGCTGCTCTGCAGCCGCCCAGTCGAGAGACCAGGGAGATCCAGGCACGCGGGTGGGAAGTTGTCAGTGTGTGGGAACTGCCCACCCTTTCCACGAGTGAGTGCAGAAGTGCGCCCATGGGCTGTGGTGGGAGGGTGCCAGCTGGTGTGCTGCTGCGGAAGGCTCTAAAACCTCTCCCACACAGAGGACAGGTGTGGGCCTTACGGGATCGCGGAGCTGGAGGCACCCTAAATGCCCATCTCCGGGCGAGTGGGTAAGTACCGGCAATGTGGGCGCGCTGTCACAGTTACAGACAGGGAACTGGATGTCCGCAGCTGTTGGGGGAGATCTCAGAGATGGAGCGTTAAGTTTTCATTTTTTTTTTCTTCAAAGTTAGTAGATTTATAGCACAATCTCATTTGTGTAAATTGGAAACGCAGAGACACACCAAGTCACAAATTAAACCGCTGCCTCTTGGCAGCTGTGTAGCAGGCCCACTGAAGTGGGTGTCTGGGAGGCGGATGGGTGGGGGTGAGGATGGGGAGAGACATGGGAAGAGTCTTTTATGGGCCAATTGTGGCTCTGGGTTGTGATCTGAAAAGTATGATTAACAACTTCGGGCGCTGAGGACTAAGGAGAAATGAAATAAAAACTGTAGACACATCGTAGCAATTGCTTACAGGTTATGTGAATTTGATGACTCTCCCTTGGTGACCAACAACAGCAGAGCGACACCCCCCCCCCCCCCCCTCCCCCAGCTAGCAAATGGGAACCTTTCATGTCACACAAAAGTCAGAAAGGGAACACCTTGAATGTTGAGGTTGTGTGCATGTGTAAACTGTTACCAAGTGTTCGTCAGTTACTCTTCAACTTATTTTATTTTGGGGGTCTCTCACCGAACCTGGAGCTTACCAATGGCTAACCAGCAAGGCTCAGGGAGACTTCTGTCTACCTCCCCCAGCAAAGCAACTGCAGATATGCAATGTTGTACTGTATGTTACTATGTGTCCTGGAGATCAAACTCACGTCCTGATTTTACCAACCGAGCCGTCTCCGAAGCCCATCTCTGTTCCTTTGGTTTTGGAGATGGTCTTGCTATGCTGTCCAGTAAGTCCTCTTGCTTCCACTGTGCCACCACTGCCCGGCCAAAGCCCTAACTTTGCAGGAGTTTCCTTCTTCCTCATACAGCCCAACTGACTCACAGGCCTGTCTTTTCCTCCAGACACCCTCAAATACCCAGAAACTAAGCCTTTCCAGCTACCTGGCTACTCCAGAGCATGATGACACCCAAAAATAATCCTCACAATCACAACAGCGATTACTCATTCGTAGGAATCTTAAGTAGACACCCACCCTCCACATCCGGTCCCACGGTGACCTTAAAGTTTTACCGGTTCCCACTACTGCTCCTTCTCCAATGTAATCTAAATTGGGCAGCCCTGGCCTTCGGTGTCCTGAAAGAGATGGTTTTGCAGATGTCCCAACTGGATTCTGTTTCTCTTTCCTTCCTGAAACAGCATCACACGCCTGGCCACACCCACACCTGCTCAAGTACCTGGTTCAGGAATTGGCTCCACCGACTGAATTTGCCTCTGCAAATTTTAGTTTTCCTTCATCTTTCCATCACTTTGGACACATCAACGGGGATAGTTTGTGTAAGCCTGGCTTAGAAAGCAGAGCCGCACCCACACCTACTCACCTACGTGGCTCAGGAATTGGCTCCACTGACTGAATTTTCCTCTGCTGGGTACATTTTCGGTTCCCTCCATCTTTTTTATCAAGGATAGTACGTGTAAGCCCGGCTTTAAAAGCAGAGCCATGCAGCTCAGGAGACACTTAGGACTTGACCATGGCTACACTATTGCTACTGGGTCTGGCGACCGTGATGCTGGGCTTGACCACAGCTTATCCTGTCCCTCCTTCCAAGCCCACCCCAGCCAGAGAAGGCTGTAACATCAGCATTTTCCAATCTATATCACCACAGACGAGAGAAAACTTCAGGAATGCCAATGATGCTTTGGTGTGTTACTGTTACCATAATGGGCTACCCTACATCTTTCCTAGTGGGATGAAGATGGTACCTACCCCTGTGGGCTAACCTCTAACCTTCTACTACAGGCTAGGCTTGAGTCTTCCAGCTAGGACCAGTCTATCCTTTCTGATATGAATTCAATTCAAATCCTCCAGCTAGGCCACGTTTTACTCTTGCTGCTGTGAACTAGGTCCCATCTCTCCTGTGTGGGCTAACCCGTGTCTTTCTCTTCAGGAAGAATCACGGCTACAGAAGGATGTCCGGTGCAGCCCCAAGCTCTTTCCCCGTAGGTGGAAACTGGTCCGGCTGCAGGTAAGTTGGAAGCCAGGTGAGGATTACCCCCTTGCCCGGCCACTTCCCTCCTAAAGTGGCTACCTTTGCCTGTCCCCAAACCCTGTGTCCTTCAAGTGCTTCTGCCTCTCCCATACTTCCCTAGCTCCTTCAGCTTGGTCTCTTTTTTGAGTCTCACTATGTAGCCCAGGCTGGCTTCAGTCTTGAGGTCCCAGAGGCCCTCAGGCTCAGTCTCCTGACTATGCTAGGATCATAAACACAGGGCGCCACACCCGGCTCACCTTTCTGCCCAGCCTATCTGCCACCCATGCCTGCTCCCCGTGTCAGCACACCTCTCTTACCCCATTTCTGGGCGCACGGCCTCTCCCCTCCATCTCTTGTCTCTTAAAACGATCCCCTCCATCCCCCCATCTTTCCACGAAGCCACCTCCATCCCCTCTGCCTCCCTATCCTGTTCTCTTCTCCCCTGCTCTATCAAACCTCTGTGAGCCCAGCGTCTCTGCTTGCTTGGCGCCATCTTGTTTGTCTCCTCACCTGTCTCCTCCTCCTCCCTTCCTTTTCCCCTCACCTCCATCTTCCCCATCTGTATTCCCCATCAAGCACTCCTGATCTCTGGATCCCTCTTGTCTGCCCATCACCTGTCCCCGCCCAGTGTCTTGCAACCCCGCCCCCCTGCATTGTATTCCCTATACAACCCAACTTAACCTGTGCTTTTTGGGATTTGTGGCAGGTTATATATGTGGTATAGAGACTCAATTCAGGTCTCACACAAAGGCTAGGTAAGAGCTGTACCACTGAGCCACGCCCCCAGCCCCTCACTGGGGGATTCTAGGCAGGGGCTCTACCACTGAGCCACACCCCAGCCCCTCACTGGGGGATTCTAGGCAGGGGCTCTACCACTGAGCCAC